CTGGTTTGCAGTGTAGAATGCTTCCAACAGTGTGGGTTCAATTCCTGCACTAGCTGAGATTCCTGTGAAGGATTCCCCTTCTCGATCCTCACTCAGGTTAAACAACCACCGGTTTTGTGTGGGATAGTAGGAACTGCCAATGCTGGAGAATCTGTGTGTGTCTCTAATCAGAGAGCAGCCCTATGGTCCAATAAGACTACGGCTACTTCATTTCATCCCTACTTTCAAAGAACAAAATTACAGCACAGGAGCAGGCCCTTCGGTCCTCCAAGCCTGAACAGACATGCTGCCTGTCACAACTAAAACCCCACTTCATAATTGTCAACTCACTTGTCAATTGGAATTCTATCTAACTGAGCCTTGACTGTATTTAATGACCCAGCTGCCACTGTTTTCTGGGGAAGAGAGTTCCACAGACTAACAACCCTCTGAGACAGAAAATAAAATTCTCTATTTATAAGACAGGCTCCTAATTTTTAGACCATCTCCCTGGCTCTAGTCTACCTGACATTAGGAAATACCCTTTCGGAATCCACCCTGTCATTTCTTCTCAGGATCTCATATGTTTTTAGAGATCAACTCTCATTCTTCTAAATTCCAATGGGTGGAGGTCCACTGTAGATCCAATGGAGGAGACGGTATTGTTGCTCAACGAGTAATCTAGGGACCCAGGTTCTGGAGACACAAATTTGAATCGCGCCGTGGATGGTGATGGAATTGTAGTCAGCAAACATCTGGAAGTAGAAACTAACTGAGTGTCATTTGTCTTAAACCCTTCTTGTTCATGAATGCCCATTAGGGAAGGAAACTGCCATCCTTATCTAATCTGGTTTACATGTGACTCCAGACCCACAGCAATGGGGTTGACTCTTAACAGTGTCTGAAAGGGCTTTGCAAGTGCTTCAGTTGAAGGGGCAATTTGGAATGGGCAATAAGTGCTGGACCTTCAGATCCCATGTATGAATGAAATTTGATTTATTTATTGTCACGTGTATCTTGTTACAAAAATACAGTGAAAAGTGTTGCATCGTGTTACCATCTTAAAACACAGAAAAATAAACAAAAACATAGAATCTCAAGGCAGAACAATGAAGAAATAAAGAAATGGTCCAACATTACAGTCTTTCTTGTAAAGTGCTTCGTCATGGGCCATTGGCCTGGTGGCCAGCGTTTAGTCTCCTTCGCTGCGCTGCCTCTGAAACGAAAGTTGCCATTCCCCAGTGCCATCTTGCCACTATGAGTCCTTGCCGGACCTCGCCAATGCAGATGGCACCGATACCACCCAAACTTGACTCCGCTGCCACCGAGTTTGCTTCGGGCCCACCTCGTCGATACAGCTGCTGCTGATGCCATTGGGCCCAAACCCTCCTCCGCTGCCACCGCCCCCTTGAATCTGCGCTGGACACAGACGACGGCTCAACCTTTCCACACGGGATACGCCCTTCATCCCAGGAGTCAACTGAGCTGCTCCTGAGACAATCGTGTCCTTTATCAAAGACTGAAAGTGGGCAATCTTTGCACCAATTGCGGGTCGCCTGAGGCCCAGTACAGCCGTAGCAACACTTTTCCACTTTTAAACTCGATTCTCCTTGCAGCATAGGCCAACATTCCACCTGCTGCCTCGAACCCCTGCTCACCAGCCCCTGCCGGATGTGCGCGTGCCGTGGTGAGGTGTCGACAGCATCAGACTGTGACTCTCCAACCTCTCCACCGTCCCCCAGCCCTCTCCTGGTTAACAAGGCTGTCAATACACACTGACTGGATTCTCCCTCTGCCTGTGGTCGGAATGCCTAGGGAGAGCTGAAATCAAAGTCGTTGAGGTCACAGTATTCCGCACCCACCACCCACTCCTCGATCTGGACCTTTGCTCTCCCCTCCCCACCCCCAAAACTGCCCTGTACAACCCAGGAATAAGAGAGTGGGAGCAGGAGCCCGGAACCAAAGCGTTATCCTTATAGGCCTAAGGAAAAGAAAACAGCAGCCTTTCTGGGAATCAACTCATGAACAATTTACAGAAGGAATTTTGACAAGCCCTTGAAATAGTCATCTGTTTATGCATGCGTTTATATATATATATATGAACGCTGATAAGTACGTGACAGCCCTTTTTGTATTTACATGTATGTGCACATGTGGGCCCGTGTCTATGCTTTGGGGTCAGCGTGTGCATGATTTTTTTAATGTGTTCGCAGGATGTGGGGTCCCTGCTAGGCCAGCTGTTAATGGTGCTCTTTACTTAACCAGTGGGCAGTTACCAATCAACCGCATTGCTGTGGGTCTGGAGTCACAAGTAGGCCAGATTAGGAAAACATGGCACATCTCCTTCCCTAAAGACATTAGTGAGATAGACAGATTATGAATCAGTAAGTGATTCAGGGTTTTGGGGAAAGGGCAGGAAAGTGGAGTTGAGGATTATCAGATCAGTGGTTTCACGGAATATCAGAGCAGACATCATAGGCTGAATGCCTACTTACGGTCTTATAGTGATCCAGACAGGTTTTTACAATTGACAATGGTTGCATGGTCGCTATCAGGCTAGCCTTTTTTTTATTCTAATGTTTTATTAAATGAAACTATGCGCTCAAAACATTAGCCTGACCGTGTGTGTGAATGTATTAGTGTGTGTATTTGTGTGTGTCTGTGTGTGAGTGCGTATGGACGTGTGTCTGTGTTTGTGTGTGTGAGATTGTGTGTTTAACTGTGTGTAGATTGTGCATGTCGGCATGTGTGTGCGTGAATGTGTGTGCACGCATGTGTCTGCATCTCTGTGCATGTCTGTGTGTGTGCTTGCATGTGAGTGTGTGTGTGTGTGAAAGGATGTGCTTGTGTGTGTGGGTATGTATTAGTGTAAGAGTGTGTGTATGAGTGTATGTGTGTGTATGAGTGTGTGTATGAGTGTACGTGTGTGCTTGTGTGTGTGCATGAGTGTGTGTACAAATGTGTGTATGAGTGTACGTGTGTGTGTGTGTGAGAGAGAGACTGTGTGTGCGTGTGTGCATGTGTGAGAGTTTGTGTGTGTGAGAGTGTGTGTGTGTGTGTCTGTGTGCGTGTGTGTGCATGTGTGCCTGTGTGTGTGTGTCTGTGTGCGTGTGTGTCTGTGCGTGTGTGTGTCTGTGTGCGTGTGTCTGTGTGTGCGTGTGTATGTGTGTGCCTGTGCGTGTGTCTGTGTGTGTGTGCGTGTGTCTGTGTGTGTGTGCATGTGTGTCTGTGTGTGTGTGTCTGTGTGCGTGTGTGTGTGTCTGTGTGCGTGTGTGTGCGCGTGTGTGTGTCTGTGTGTGTGCGCGTGTGCGTGCGTGTATGTGTATGGGTGTGTGTGTGTGCGCGTGTATGTGTGTGCCTGTGTGCGTGTATGTGTGTGCGTGTGTGTGCCTGTGTGTCTGTGTGCGTGTGTGTGTGTGTGTCTGTGTGCGCGTGTGTGTGTCTGTGTGTGCACGTGTGTGTGTGTGTGTGAAATGGTGCTTGTGTTGAGACGTGACTGTTTGTTCAGTTGTTTCTGGGAGGTGGGTGTCATCACACTGCTCTCTCTAACCCCCTCCCCCGGAGAAAGTCCTGTTTTGAATGACTGCAGTCCATATGGTGAAGGCAGTTCCTTCCTAATAGCGATTTGAATGTAGCCACATGGACTGTAGATTCAATAAGTCAGACACCACCGCCACCTTCTCCAAGGGCAATTAGATATAGGCAACAAATGCTGACATTTTCGGTAATGCCTGGTACCCCTCAAACTAATAAAAGGAACATGTGCAACATAGGAGTCATGGCAATGCAAACCTCAGAACCCCTCCAAGCCACTCACCATCCTGGCTTGGAAATATATTGCTGTTCCTCTAGGTGTCACTGGGTCAAAATCCTGGAATTCCCTCCCTAATGGCATTGTGGGTCAACCCACAGCAGGAGGACTGCAGCGGTTCAAGAAGGCAGCTCACCACCACCTTCTCAAGGGCAGCTAGTGACGGGCAATAATAAATGCTTGCCCAGCCAGTGATGCCCACATCTGTAAGGGAACAGAAAGAAAATGCCCCATGCCCAAAAATAAAGCCATCATCAATGAGCAAAGCTGTTTTTCAGTAGATTTGTGGAGAGGCAAAGTGTTTCGCATTTGATGCTAACCCTGATTTTTTGGTTAAGCCACAGCTGAAGTGCCTGTGTGCAGCTCTGGGCTCGCACACACTGGAGAGTGTGCAGAGGAGATTCACCATTTCAGCAAAGAAGAGATGAGGTGGTTTTCTTTGGAGCAGGAAAGGTTGAGGGGGGATCTGTCTGAGTTATAAGGGGCCTATACAGGGTGGATAGCAAGCAAAATAAAAACCGAAAGAACTGCGGATGCTGGAAGTCAGAAACAAAAACAGAAGTTGCTGGAAAAGCTCAGCAGGCCTGGCAGCATCTGTAGGGAGAAATCAGAGATGGAAAGTAGCTGTTCCCCTTAGTTCAAGGGTCAGTAAGGAGGGGGCATAACTTAAAGGTGAAAGGCAGGAGGTTTCGAGGGGCTTTGAGGAAAAAATGTTTTCACCAGCGAGTGGTGGGAAGCTGGAACGCGATGCCTGGGAGGAAGGGTCCGGTTCTGAGGAAGGGTCACCAGACCTGAAGCTTGAACTCTGCGTTTTCCTTCACAGATGATGCCAAACCTGCTGAGCTTTTCCAGCTACTTCTGTTTTTATTTCCTGCCTGGGAGGGTAGCTGAGGTGGGAAATCTTACAACCTTTAAAAAATACTTGGGTCCACACTTGTAACCTTCAAGGCTACGGGCCAGGTGCTAGAAAATGGGAACGGTGTAACAGAGTCGAAGGGCCAAAGGGCCTTTTATGCACGCTGTTCAACTGTGTGAGGTGTTCCCCTTTAAGAAGGGAGTTGTGTTTCACACATGGGGCTTGGTGTGTGGTGGAGAGGCGTCAGTGACAGCGCTCGCTGTTAGCTGTGGTCTAAGTCAGGGCTCTGGGATCGCACAGCTCAGTGTGAGCTATTTTGAAAGTGACCCTGCAGAGTTTGCAGCTGTTTAAATCATGACTGAAGATGACGGATTCGGTTGTCGCGGAAGGGCAAGTAAAACTGAGAGACGGAAAAAAGGTTTGTGGATCTGCTTGGCTGGGGGTCGAACGGTTTATGTGGATTTCATATTTTGTGTGTATGTGTGTGGTGCGGGATGCTTCATTGACAGTTGTCTTTTCCTTCACTTCTCTCTCTCTCTCTCTCACACACACATTGCACTCGGTCCCCGGTACAGTGGAAGAGTAGATGGTTGGTGCTTCGTAAACCTTCTCCTGTAGCAGGTATGACCTCTCTGCCGTTTAAACTCATTCACTTTTTGTCTATATTTGACTGTCTGGGAGAGTGGGGAGGGGATCCACTGCAAACTCACAGCAACAGCGTTCCCTGGCTACACAGTGTGCCTCTCAAGCATTGCGTTTCTAAGCGTCCTCTTTCTAACATGTTGCTTTCTGGAATCTAATTTTGATCCTGTGTGACACAGCGGCTGTGTTATAAAACGTTGCTCCATTGAGAGTGCACGGGAATTCATTTTCATACCTTTTCTTTAAACACAAAAAGGGAACAGGAGTGGGCCATTCGGTCCTTTGAACCTGCTCCTCCATTCAATATGATCAGTCCCTTGTTCTCACTCTCTCCCCCCACCCCCCAACCAATACCCTTTGGCCCTAAGCACTATATCTAACTCCTTCTTGTAAACAGTAATGGCTTGTTCTGACAGGATTAGACAGGGTAAATGTTGTTCCTGATGACCAGGGGAATGCAGAGCCAGGGTTCACAGTCTGAGAATATGGAGTGGGTCATTTAGGACTAAGATGAGGAGAAATTCCTTCACCCAGCGAGTGGTGAACCTGTGGAATTCACTGCCACAGAAAACGTTTGAAGAAAGATGTAGATGTCAGACACATTAGGGGCATTTAAGCGACTGTTGGATAGGCACATGGACGATAGTGAAATCTAGGGTGTGCAGGGTAGTTTGATCTTAGAATAGGATAATAGGTCGGCACAATGTCGTGGGCTGAAGGGCCTGTACTGTGTTGTACTGTTCTACGTTCTTAGGAGTGAAAGGACTGAAAAATATGGGGAGAAAGTGGGAAAGTTGGATGATCAGCCATATTGAACAGTGGAGCAGGTTTGAAGGGCTGAGTGGCCTACTCCTGCTCTTGGTGTGTTTTTTATGAAATGAGCTGAAATATCTTGCCTTTAATTCAAATAGCACTGAGTACACCAGGCCACACACAGTCAGTGGGCCAGAATCTGAGGGGTAATAATTTGGAGGGTGTGCCCCTTCATTGAGAATTTTCCCTAACACCCCTTATTACTGTAGACTCAGCCTTTATTGTCTCTTCCAGTCAAAACCTTCCCATTTGTCAAACTCTCAGTGTATTTTCTTTAGTTAACCCAAAAGGTTGCTTAAAATCTGAATGAGGTATCACCTGGAGCAGTTAGATTCATTTAAATAGGTACCTTAGATAGGGGAGAAAGGATACAGACATATAAACAAGGAAGAAGGAACAAAAACAAAGTTGCTGGAAAAGCTGAGCAGATCTGGCAGCATCTGTGGAGGAGAAAACAGAGTTAACTTTTCGGGTCCGGTGACCCTTCCTCAGTTCTGTTTTCTCCTTCACAGATGCTGCCAGACCTGCTGAGCTTTTCCAGCAACTTTGTTTTTGTTCCTGATTTACAGCATCCGCAGTTCTTTCGGTTTTTATTTAAACAAGGAAGCAGAGTAGGTCACTGAGCCCTTTTGAGTATGAGCAGGATATCTGAATAAAATGAGATAAAGAATGGTGATCAGGAGCATTATATCTGGCATGAATGGGATGAATGGCCTGCTTTCTACTATTTTAGCAGTTTTGTTTGATTTGGTTTCTGTGGCACCATTTGCTCGTGTATTTTAAAAAATGTTTTTTTTGTACATGAGCTGGAGTGGGGTTTTTTTCCTTGCATGTGGTGGGAGCTGTGAATTGCTGCAGTTTATTTACTTTTGAAAATAATTTGATCAAGAGAATGCATGAGATGAGATCGTAGGCAGATCAGTTGTAATTGTATTGAATGGCAGAGCAGACTCAAAGGGCCGAATGGCCTGCTGCTCCTAGTACCTGTGTTTGGATACAGAAAGGCCATGGGATCCATGGCTGAGATGAATGGACAGCACATGATTTGTCGGCTGTTCTAGGACTTCTTTTGATTGGTAACAGGGAGTGCACTAATTATCAAATGGAATGCAACACAGATACACAACAGCGGCATAGAAGAATATGTCAAAAATATTGTTTTCGAGAAGGTGTAAGATATAGTCCTAAGGGCTGGAGGAACCAAATGGTATGGGGAGAAAGTAGTAACAGGGGACTGAGTTGGATAATCAGCCATGATCATATTGAATGTTGAAGGGCCGAATGGCCTACTCCTGCTTCTGTTTTTCCTGTTCGGCTGTGGCTCAGTTGCCTTCCCTTCTGGGACCCTGTGCTGTGGGTTCACACCCCACAACAGAGATCTGAGCATACAATCTAGGCAGACTTTAAGGTATAGGACATAGGAGCAGATCAGGCCATTCGACCCATTGAGTCTAACAAGGGAATGATGAGATTTTAAAAGCAGGGCTGCCATTCTGCAGGGTGAAGGGCTAGTATTCCCTGATATTCCAGGAGCTTGTATGCTGACATTGGTGGTGTGATGTGCTGTGATTGAGCTTTGACCTGTCATTTCCAAATCTATGCACGACAAAACCGTTTTAGTCGTGTTGGGGGATGGTGTTAGGATTCTACCCGTTTCCAATAACATCTATGCTTGAATATTAAATAGGAGGAATAGCACATGAGGGGATTCAGCAAAGAGCTCTCTACGTTTCTAACCTTTTAGAGATTTTAATCAATGCAAGATTTCTAACCCCATAGCTCAGATGGAGGCAGTGATGCCCCTTAGCTTAGGACATGGGGGTTATCTTTCAGAGGAAGGGGAGGGAACATGGTGTGGGGCCCAGGGAGCCAACTGTGTCTGAAGCATTGTTGGGCCATTGCTTGAATTTTTTTGAGCAGGCAGCAGCAGTTGAGAACAGCCAGTAACAATTCCCCTCTGGATTGGTCGCACCTCCTGGCTCCTCTGTCCACCCTTGCTTAGATTCGCCAGGTTCGACATGAGTATTTCCAGCAGATTGCCGTGATGACATTCCCCAGCCCAGTCCATGTCCGTGGCACTGCCACACTGCTTACATTCCATCTTCCATATGCTACATCTGTGTGGCTGTGTTGACTGTGAACGCAATCAACTTAAACAGGCTGTAGCTAATCCGCCACTGAGGTGTGGGCATTGCCTCCAGGGTATTTGTACCCAATATGGCAACGCTTATGTTAGCTCTCACAACATAAGGAGTAGGTGTAGGTATGCTGGTATTGAAAGATTCAACAGATATTTATTACACTTCCTGGTACATACCGGACATATATCACAGTTGCAAGCACTTCAGTGTCTGGGGTAAAATTGAGCCATTTGATTGCAAACAGTAGCACTTGCATCAGTATGCCATGCTTCAAATGACCCCAAGTTATGATGGAGTCTGAGATCTTTATAACCTCAGGTGACCCTGAAACAATGATGATATCACAAGCATATCTCTTCAAGGTGTACTGTCTGTGTGATATAATACAGCAGTAACCACCAGGAAGGGTCAAATTACAGAATGAAATCACCAAATTCCAGTTTTAAGATCTCCTGGATATTTTCACCAGCTGCTGGGGGCATGATGACCCTGGTTATCCTAGCTGCTGTCCTAGTAATTGACTTTTTTTTTCCATTATTCATTTATGGGATGAGGGCGTCGCTGGCCAGGCAGCATTTATTGCCCATCCTTAATTGCCCAGAGGGCAGTTAAGAGTCAACAACATTGCTGTGGGTCTGGAGTCACATGTAGACCAGATCAGGTAAGGATGGCAGTTTCCTTCCCTAAAGGACATTAGTGAACCAGATGGGTTTTTCCAACAATCAATTCACGGTCATCATTAGATCCTTAATTCCAGATATTGTATTGAATTCAAATCCACCATCTGCACTGGCGGGATTCAAACCCGTGTCCCCAGAACGTTGTCTGGGGCTCTGGATTAACATAGAACATAGAACTATACAGCTCAGTACGGGCCCTTCGGCCCACGATGTTGTGCCGAACTTTTACCCGAAACCTAAGGTCTATCTAACCTCCACCCCTACCTTATACTACCATCCATATGCCTATCTAATAGCCGCTTAAATGCCCCTAATGAGGCCGAATCCACTACTCTCTCCGGCAATGCACTCCACAAGTCCAGCGATAATACCACTGGGCCATCGCCAACCCACATTGCTGAGAAACAGTGAGACAAGAGCAAAACACAGTCGATTCTGTGAGTCTGTAATGAACACACGTGCTGGAGAAACTCAGCTGGCCAATCAGCATTCGGGAGGGAGAGCTAATGCTTTGTGAACCTGTGATGCATCATCAGGCAACTCACCACTGCCTCCTTGAGGGCAATTTGGGAGGGGCAATAAATGTCCCAGTCTGTGACTGCTGTGTCCCACAAGTGCATTTTAACAAAAAAACTGGTGCTACGGGATGCACTTTTAGCATTTTCTGTTTTTATCTTCTCCCTATTCCTTTTGCTTCCCGTGGGAGGTTGCTGTGTGTAAATCACTTGTGCTCTTACCGACAGTGAGTACACTTAATGTGTACATCACTAGCTGTAAAGTTCTCTAAGAGCCCAGAGGCTCTGCTGGTTGCTCTCTGAAAGTCAGTTCTTTCTTTTTGACTGAACCAAAAGATGCTAAAATAAGTGTCAGTGTCTCATTTGGACGGAAATG